ATAGACACGTGCTCGGGGAAAGCGAGCCCTATCCGAACGACGATAGCTGGAGAGCCGGGACTTGCATAATTTTGTAGAGTAACGTCCGGACTATCTACGCATGCAAAAAAATTACTAACATTATATGTTAGTTCCTGAGAACGGAGCTGGTTTTCCAAAGATCCTCTGGAAACCCGATCTTTGAAATTTTTTCAAAAGTTGTTTCCGCTTGTGAAAAGTTCCGCTCAAGTCTTGGCTATCGAACAGCGAAAACCGTAGGTCTGTATCTCATTTCTATCAAAAGTTATTCAAAAAGTGGCATCCGGCACTGTATTTTGGTATGGATAGTAGTTGTCAGTTTCAAAGATAAAGATTCATTCGCTTATCAAAAATCTTAGAATTAATTCTACTTTGACTTAGTATAAAACTTATAGTAAAGAAATTCAGAGAAAAATATATTTTGTTCATGTTTGTAAGTGTATCCAAGCCTACGACGATGAACGTCGTTTCTCTCGATATATTTTTATTCTTTTAGATTTAGTTTTAGACAAAAGAAAGCATTTTCACACCAAAAACGCGAATGATTCATGTTTCAGTAGCTGGACTTGTCGTCTGTTGATTTGTGCGCTCTAATTGGCTTATATAAAGCACCACGATCGTCGCCAAAAAAGCATGTCCATGAATACTTTATGAATAACTTTTGGTAGAAATGAGATACAGACCAAACCGATTGATGATCAAACAATATAATAAACTTGTATTTTATCAATGACGCAAACATTTCTGAGAGTGGAGTTTCGGATATTATAGGTAGAGGATCTAAAAATCAAATCAGGCCAAGTCTATGTATACTGTCCGAGACTCCACGCTCAGAAATGCTTGCGTCATGAAAAAAATACTAGTGTATTATATTATTTGATCACCAAATGGTTTGGTGCCAAGTTAACTGGTACTGGGACATACCTAGTTGTATAATGGTGTCGTTTGATATAACAAGTCTTTTCAAGTATCTTTACAATTAGTGGCGGAGCCAGGAGTTTGATCTAGAGGAGGCTCAGCCCAGAAATTTTCTGAACTCCGTCAGAGGTAAACTCATTTAAATTTAATGCTCGAAATCTATAAATTTTTTAGAGGGGGCTCAGCCCCCTCTCGCCCATAGCTGGCTCCGCCACTATTTTCAATACACCATTGATATTATTCTATTATTACTGTAGAAATAAACAGAAAAAGCAAATTGATTGCTTATGTAATAATTGTCAGAACAGAGATTTGAAGTAGGTATGCAACAATCCCAAGCTGCTGATCGGCACCGAACGGTTTGTTACCGATCAGCGAAGCCTGGCTAGGGATTATTGTATTACTGATGTTCGGTCACCAAACAGTTCGCAATCGAACATGTTCGGTGTCGATCAGCGAGCCCAGTTTGGGATTGTTGCATGTCTAGTCTGAATTAAAGACAATGGGATGAAATTAAACTTTTGAAGGAGTGAATGTGTGTTCTACCGGATCGATACCGAACATGTTTAAACCAAAGGTTTAAAAGAAATAGTTTGTCAAAGCTAAGAACATGAAAGAAATTTCTGTAAAACACAAAAAATGGTGAAGATTACACCAAACGAAGGAGCAGCGATGATTACGCCGTAGCCGTAGGTTGTCATGCAAAGAAAAGTTGGAATTAGAGCAGCAACTTTATGTTTGCTTTATTCCAAGAAGTCCAAAGTACCTTTAGTTTCCACTATATCTGATTAACTCTCTAACTAAAGCATACTTTACTAATGTAGCCTCTGTAGCAGATTGATTTACTTTGTGTTCATGCAAAAATGCTATTCCTCACTGTGCAAATAAAGCAGACAGAAAGTTGTAACCACTATATCTTCTATATAGAAACTAAGTTTCAAAATCGATTTCATTTTTCTTTTTATCGTTAATTGGGAAGAGATCGACGCACAAAATGACGCCAGAACAAACCTTCTATCACATACCGTTGCCGAAAAAACCAAGAAATAGTATGCAGAAAACGTAATAGCGTTAGTTTAAAAAAAAAGTCAAATTACTCTGACAAATAGTGGTTGATCAGATATTCGTCGATGCCACCACTTAACAGCCGTTTTTGTGCAGGGTGGTGTAGACTGTCACTATAGTAGATGCACTACAACGTCAGGGCTAAGACCAACCTTGTCTACTACTAATGTACACAAATATCAAAGAATTAAAAGTCAAATATACACTAAGCTGTTTATAAAGCGGTTATTTACGGTTACGGGTTATGACCGGGTACGCTTAACTGTAATCGTTGCCTGCTAGGCAAATGTCAATAGAGGTATATCTTAGATATATGCATATCTCTGTCTGAGTGTTAGAGGTCTATTATGTGCTTTCTCTTTATTTTACTCTTACTCACTACTACTTTTTTGGCTTACTCAATTGTACAAAAGTAAAAACAAATATACAAAGAAATTTGAAGTTCATATCAAATAATAAAAAATAGTATTTTCTTTCTTTTTTTGTCGTGTTGGAATGACTATTCTGTGAGAAAAAAAACCATAATCATACTGCGAGACATAAAACTTGATAAATTACCTTTATTCATACACAGAGCGAGGAATGTTTCTCTAACTACTATTTAAAATTTATTAGGGTTGTTAAAAAGCGTCTCTCTTTGGGAATTTCAGATTGTATTTGTAGAAAGTAATCTATCTTTGCGAAGCAAACAATCTTTTAGAAAACTCATTTCACCAATCGATAGAGCTCATCGAGTTCTATCTGGCTCACTTCTTTCTACAGATGGCACATCTTTAATAAAATACGTTCGGCGAAAATATAGAAATCTGCTGCTAACTTCCCTTACGTAATTCCAGCTGTATGGCTTTGTGAACTTGAACAACATCCATCTCGTTCTGCCTCATCTTTATTTAATATAATGGCTAGTACTCCAACCGGTGTCATAATCACTACCGGCTTGTCAGTTCCGAATTCGTATAATTCACGTATACCACTTTATAAAATATCAGAAATACTTGAGCTATACACAACTAAAGGTGCGGATGTATTCTCATTACGAGAGACACGTCCACTTTTCCCTCGCGATGTAATTCAATATTTTCAGTCTCTCGTACTACTAAATCCAAAATATACAGAGTTCGGACGAAAAAGTTTATTTAATGAATATTTTTCTAATGCGTCTTGTCGTCAAAGTTTAACTGATCTTGTTATACCAACAGTAAATCTAATAGTAATGGATCTGTAGTATTTTATCGTAGAGATTGTCGTACAGATGTAGATCCACGTAAAAGAAATATAAACATGCAAGAAATTTTAATGTGTACAACAGCTGCACCAACATATTTTTCACCACATTCAATGGTTGCTGAAAAATCTTTGTATGTGGAACGTGGTGTACAGGCAAATAATCCGACAATGATAGCATATGTAAAAGCTATACAGGATTATCAACTTCCGAGAGATAAAATTGTTGTGCTGTCAGTGGTTACCGGTGACTATGTACCAGATGAATTAGGTCCAAATCGTAAGAGGAATTTGTTGTTTTGGTACGACAATAGTGAGGAAATATCAAAAGTCATTTGGATGGACCAACGAATAATCTCAATCCACAAATGTGTGCTCTACTGGACCATGACAAATATCGTCGGTGGCAAGTTTGGTTAGAAGAACCGATTGCTCTCGATGAATCTAGTGATGATATTTTAGAAAAGCTTTTTGATCTTGCTGCGGAACACTTTGAAGTGATGGAAGCATACCCAGGTCCAAAAAAACGGCCCGTTAACGGCCAGTTAATCTCCAGTAAACGGTTAACACAAAAAACGGCGCGTTAACGTTATGGAAACGGCAGAAAAACGCCCAGTAAACAAGTCGTTAACTTGCCGTTTTCAGTG